GAGGGCAGGTTGAGTTGAGCCCATTCCAGGAGGCGCTCTACCAGAGTGAAGAGACGCTTTGAGGAGAGGCCTGCCTGGCGATTTATGTAGGACAACACAGACATGTTGTCCGATCTGATTAACACATGGTGCCCCTTTAGGACTGGCAGGAAGAACTGATAGGCTCGACATACTGCTAGCATTTCCAGGCAGTTGATGTGGAAGCCTTTTTCTGCCTTCGACCAGTGACCGAAAGTCGGTATGCCCTCGCACAGCACCCCCCAACCTGAGTTGGAGGCATCTGTCATGACAACTGTCCTTCTGCAAACCATCCCTATGACCACGCCCTGTTCCTTCCAGAGAGAGTTCTTCCAGGGGGCCAGGGCTGTTACACAAGCCTGACTCACCCTGATCTGCAGGCGTCCGTGACGCCACGCATGGGATGGAACCCATCGTTTCAACTAGCGCTGAAGGGGGTGCATACGAAGCAACTGTAGCACTGGCGATGCCGCTGCCATGAGGCCCGGCATCCTCTGAAATGCTTTGAGAGGGCGAGTGGTACCAATTTTGAAGGAGGACGCCAGCCTCCGTATGGCCAGAGCCCAGAGCCAGAGCCAGCGCGACTACAGCTCTCATTTGGGCTGAGTCGAAAATTGTTCCCAGGAATGATATTCGCTGGCTGGGGATCAACGCGCTCTTGGCAAAGTTGACCCTGAGTCCCAGGCACTCCAGATGGCTGAGGAGGAGGGTCCTGTGTGATATTAATTCTGCCTCTGACTGGGCCAGAACGAACCAGTCGTCGAGGTAGTTGAGAATGCGGATTCCCATCTGTCTCAGAGGGGAGAGAGCCGCATCCATGCACTTCGTAAAAGTGCGGGGGGCCAGGGACAGCCCGAAGGGAAGAACCGTATATTGATAAGCCACTCCCTCGAACGCGAATCTCAAGAATCACCTGTGACGGGGGGTTATCTGGATGTGAAAGTATGCATCCCTCAGGTCCAGAGAAAAGAACCAATCTCCTGAGCAAATTTGCACAAGGATCTGTTTCAGTGTAGTCATCCTGAACGACCTTTTCTTGAGGGTGTGATTCAGGTGTCGGGAGTTCTTTTTTGGGGACAAGGAATTAACGGCTGTAGAAGCTTGACTCGCTCTGGGCTGGAGGAACCTTTTCTACAACTCATTTTGCATCTCCTGAGCAAATTTGCACAAGGATCTGTTTCAGTGTAGTCATCCTGAACGACCTTTTCTTGAGGGTGTGATTCAGGTGTCGGGAGTTCTTTTTTGGGGACAAGGAATTAACGGCTGTAGAAGCCTGACTCGCTCTGGGCTGGAGGAACCTTTTCTACAACTCATTTTGCCAGCAGATTCATCACCTCTGAGCGCAGGACATGAGCGTCCTCGCTTTACACTAAGGTGGGGGCCACATCGCTGAAGCATGGGGGTCTTCGAGCAAATTTTATTATCCCCATAACCAATCTCAACACTCCGGGGATGGCCTGCCAGGCCTCGGCCCGTGTGGCGAGGGGTTGAATTAACTCGAGTGACTGGCTGCACGGGGGCAGAACACTTGTGAGTAATGGAAGAGGAAGTTTGCGGACCCGTTGTTTGCACAAAACACAATTCCCTCTGCACCCGGATTTGAACGGGGTGTCAAGAGGTCTAAGAGAGGCTGCTTGAGGGGCGGTCTAGCTGTAGCGAGATCTGGCCCCGTCCTCTTCCTGTTTCACAGTTCAGGATGACGCCTGAGGCGCCGGGTCCAATGCAATCTTGGGTCAGGGTCCCTGGCGCTTAGGAAAACAGTAGCGTTTGGCCGAGCGAGAGCGTCCCCGCGTTTGCTGTGCCTTAGCGGGCTGAACGGCGGGGGCGGCAGGTGCTGGCTTCGCAAGCTGCTGAGTTGGCGCAGACTTAGGGCGAGCAGAGGCAGCAGCAGAGCTGGAACTCTAAGGCAGAAAATGTTGCATAGCCTGGGACGATTTCTGTGCCTCCGTGAAGCGCTCGGCAAATCCTTCGACCGCCGGTCCGAAGAGACCCTTGGGAGAGACTGGAGCATCGAGGAAGGGGACTTTATCCACATCCTTGATCTCTGTTAACGTCAGCCACAAATGGTGCTCAAGCACCATAAGGCTGGCCATCGATCTCCCGATCGCCTGAGCAGTGGTCTTGGTGGCGCGCAGATTGTGGTCGGCTGGCCAGCTTCGTCAGAGGAAGCGAGGATCTTGGCTTGGAAGACCTGGAGGACTGCCATTGAATGAAACGCCAAAGCCGCCTGTCCAGCTGAAGTGTAGGTGCGTCCAGCGAGAGCTGAAGTGGCCCTACACGGCTTGGCTGGGTGAGTGATCTTTGCTTTCCAACCAATAGCCATGGGCGGGCAGAGATGTGCGGCCACCGCGCCTGAGCAGTGGTCTTGGTGGCGCGCAGAGCCAGGTCGGTTGCGCTCCTCAGCTCCCTGAGGATTGTGGGGTCCAGGCCAGATTCGTCAGAGGAAGCGAGGATCTTGGCTTGGAAGACCTGGAGGACTGCCATTGAATGAAACGCCAAAGCCGCCTGTCCAGCTGAAGTGTAGGTGCGTCCAGCGAGAGCTGAAGTGGCCCTACACGGCTTGGCCGGGTGAGTGATCTTTGCTTTCCAACCAATAGCCATGGGCGGGCAGAGATGTGCGGCCACCGACTCATCCAGGGGAGGCAGCTTAACATACCCCTTCTCCTCAGCGCCGTCGATGGAAGTGAGGGTGGATGAAGTAGAAGCACGAAGGCAGGCGGAGTAGGGAGCGCGCCACGATCTGGTGAGCTCGTCATGGACCTCTGGGAAGAACGGAGAGGAAAGCTGACGAGGGGCTTGGCGGCGCACCGGCAGGAACCACTCATCCAGACGGCTGCGGGAGGGCTCCTATGGCGGAGACCACTCCAAACCCAGCACTTCGACCGCTTTCGAGAGGATATGGAGAAGCTCGGCATGCTTCCCATCCTTGAAGGCGCTGGGCGCGGATGATGGCGAAGGGGTGGGGTCAGTCACCGAGCCCAACAGCTCCTCTGCGTCCGATGCTGTTAATGACAAGCTGTCATCAAGCAGCTCGTCCTCACTTCCCCCAAATGAGATCAGGTTGCTCGTGCCAGCAGAGGGACGTTGATCAGACTGTGAGAAAAGGATGGGAGAACACTCTCTCTGGGGCGAAGGCGAGGCACACGGGATCTGGGCTGACGTGAGCTCGCTCGCAGCTGGTCACTCGAGTCCTCTGCCCTGCTGTTTTATTCTTCACAGGTCCCTGGGAGGAAGAAAACGGGAGGGCGCGAGGGGCGGAGTCACTCTCTTAAAAGAAAGCGATCCGCAAGCAGAGAGAGGCGAGACTGAAGTTCTCGCAGTGAGAACAATCAGTTCCCGTGAGCGCAGCTTCCACATGGGATTTCCCGAAGCAGGAACCGCACTCCTTGTGGCCGTCATTGGCGTGCAGGGGAGAGCCGCACAAACCGCAGTAACGGCGTGGCATTTGCAACAACGCCAAGCTCTTTTAGAAAGCTCTTTTAATATCACCGGATGGCGGCAGGGGAAGAGGACCGGAACTGCTGCGTCGCTGAAGCAGTGGAGAAGCTGGTCAAAGGTCCTGATTCCAACTGCGAAGGTGTGTCAACTGTGAGCGGCTTTGTAGATCAGCGTAGAGATGTAGAGTCGTCGATGAAGGAGAAGAAATCTGAGAATCCTGTGGCGAGCGCCCGCTTATATAGCCAGATGCCCCGCCCATTCTGGCGGGCTTTGGCAGGCTTTGGCAGGCTTCGTCGCCATAGGCTCGTTCAGCTCCGGTGCCGAGCCATTGGTTCGATTTTAATACACTGCACGAACCAATGGCTGTGCAGTTTCACTGCGTGATTGAAAAAAGGATTCAGTTTAGGAGAAAAAAGGCATACCTTCCCATACCGTCTTAAGACAAGAAGCAATACGAGTGTAGTATCGAAAGGGAACTACATTACAGATATTTAAGTTGTACTTTAGAGATTGCCAACACATGTCAGTTTGAAAACCCTCAATCCTTCCAAGTTTAGAACAATTGTTTTCTCAAAAATGAAAATTATGTCAATTATATGGACTACATTTATGGTGCTTTTGGTGTTTTTAGTCCTTTCCAGAGCTTGATAGATGTGACCACTATGAACTTTTGTGATATGTTAAAAGCAGCATTATAATCCATTCAGTTCTTCTTTATATATATTCTACAAAAGAAGCAACAGCAGTGTGTAATGATATAATTTACATTTTATTTTTGGGTGGTGAACTATTACTTACAAAAAAGGGCTGAAAGATCCATTCCATGGATATAACTTGTTAAATTCTGCTCACATCGAGCCTATTTCTTTATAGTTAAGACAAAATGTACAGTTTTGGTTATCATATTTTTCAACTTCCATATGAATATATTTAGATATATTCTCTCAGAGGTGGACAGACCTAATCTGTCTTGATAAATGGACCGCCACTATGAACTTTTGTGATATGTTAAAAGCAGCATTATAATCCATTCAGTTCTTCTTTATATATATTCTACAAAAGAAGCAACAGCAGTGTGTAATGATATAATTTACATTTTATTTTTGGGTGGTGAACTATTACTTACAAAAAAAGGGCTGAAAGATCCATTCCATGGATATAACTTGTTAAATTCTGCTCACATCGAGCCTATTTCTTTATAGTTAAGACAAAATGTACAGTTTTGGTTATCATATTTTTCAACTTCCATATGAATATATTTAGATATATTCTCTCAGAGGTGGACAGACCTAATCTGTCTTGATAAATGGACCCAGTTAATTAAAATAAAAAGATACGCTGAAATCTCAGGATCAGACTTTTTCCACTTTAAATAGGAAATGAGAGCTAAGGAAATTAATCTTCTGCAGAAGTGATAATATTGGCCAGTGCAGCTGTCACATAATTAAGGAAGTGAATTTGTCTGTATTCTGCTTGTATAATCTGATTAAGTGTTTTCAATCTTGTTGTTGACATTAAAATCTATGTGTTTTTGTTTTTGGCAGAGCATTATGATAGTTCCTCAGGATCACTTCAGCTTATTTCTATAAAACCAATGGCAGCTCCACCCACCTACTCGCATCCTGCGTCCTCTGACCGCAGCCAGGACTCTGCTGTATTCAATGGAGAGGTAAGACTTGATTTTATTAGAGACAGCTTTGGATGGCAACCACTGACCAAAGTCATTTTACTGACCTTCTGATGCATTTTACGTGCAAAAAGGGCACTGATGGATGCAAAATTACCACTTCAGTGCTGATTGGCTGACTGTTATGCAACTTCTGCAAGTCAGGGTGCACAAGTTTTATACAGTTTTGTACAGCAAGGATACAAAGTTATGTTTACAGGCTACCAGGCTGCTTGGATGCTTTTGCAAGGAGAATGAATGAATGAATGAATTAATTAATTAATCAATTAATTAATTAACACATACATTCTTTGCAAGACTGTAACTGTACTAAAACTTCATTTAACATCATGTATAGTCTTTATAGTCAACAAAAGGTTATTCTTAGCACATCTCAATGGATACTCTTGCTTAATTTAGTCAAATTTAGGCTTCAAAGAGACCTGGCACAGATTTATTTTAGAATATCACTTTACCTATGGGAAATCAATTGGAGCCACATTTTTAATGCATGCAATTTTTTTTATTTTTAGTGGATGAATGGCCAATCCCCCTTCTCTCTTTCTCTCTATGTGTATACAGGTGAATTTGGCTCTGAAACAGAAGTCAGACATTGAGCACTACAGGAATAAGCTTAGACTGAAGGCCAAGAGGAAGGGATACTATGACTTCCCTTCTACTGAGGGAAAAGGTAGCACTGAAGACCTGAGTCAGCGACACAAGTACAGCCACGACAAGCTTCCTCACCCGCACACCAGAGCTCAGGAACCGGAAGACGACAGGGGCTCCACATATGTGAAGTATCGCAGGAGGTAAGGGATTCTGCTGGAATGTAAATTAGTGTTTAACAAGATATGGTTGTTTCTGTGTACTGTATGCATACTTTAATACTTGTGACACTGTCTCAGATTTATTGATCTGCACAAATTATACCTGATAATGAAGGTTGTAGTGTCATTTGTTAGTTTACAATGGTCCCAAAATTGTTTAGATGCTTAAGACACATTTAAAAATGACTGAATATCTTTACATTAGATAAAATATCAGAACATTAATTACTTAATAATACAATTCAAAAAAGGATATTTGAAATCCAAACATCCAAATCACATTGACACCAGTTAGTTGTTTACCTTAAGTAAGCAAAGCAACAAAGACAAAGAGTGCATCTCAATCAGCTCCCTAGTTCCCGGGCTTGTGAATCAGTATATTGTGTACATCTATTTGGGCACTTATAACAACCATGCATGGCTCACTATACATTGGGACAGTTGTTGTGGTTGCTAACCAGTTCTTCGTTGTTATTATCTGTTGTAGTAATACTGTCGTGAAGTCATGCTGATGTGCATGCTATACAGTTGTACCGTATTCCGTTGCTGTTGCCGCTGAAGTTCCTTGAGTAAACTAGCATTCACCCGAAGCTTTGTTTTTATGTGTTTTTGTTGAACATAACAACAGTGATTACTCAATTTACGGTGACATAATTATGTACAACATCAATGTACAATATTGAACGTCACCACTGATTTTAATCAGCAACAGGACCCATATCTTTTTGATATAAATGTCAACTAGATGTGTTCACTACCTGTCTAGTGATGTGTGCTTAAGCCAAAATATAATACTAATTAAAAAAGTTTGGGTTACACTTTATTTCGATAGTCCACATTTAGACATTCTACTAACTATAAGTAACTTTGTAACTACATGTCAACAAATTCTAATTAATTTGCAACTACATGTCTACTAACTCTCAGAGTAGACTGTTAGGGTAGGTTTAGGGTTAGTAGAATAAGTTGACATATACTTGCAAAGTTTCTGATAGTCAGTATGTTGTATGTTGTTGACCCATCAAAATAAAGTGTTAGAAGATATTAAGCAGACAGTCTACTAATACTCTAATGACTGCTAGTTGACATGTAGTTGCAAAGTTACTTACTGTTAGTAAAATGTCTACAGTGGACTATCGAAATAAAGTGTTACCAAAGTTAGTTTTTTTGAATATGCTATCACGTGTTACTATATTGATTTAGTTGGCTTGTGTGTGTTGTGTTTCATGCTTCAGAAATGTGATGTAATTTCCAGTAACTGATGCACTCGATGCACTCTTGCGGTGCATTGTGAGATTTTTCAGGGAGCGAATCTTTCAATGCATCAGAATAATTTTGTGATTGAGACAGCCCTTAAAATGGCCCACTTGATCCTAATCAGAGCCTAGACTACTGAACTACGGAGCTGATTGAGACTCATACTCTTTATCAGAATTGCCAGGTATAAGTCACAAGACCATACCTGGTATGCCAATTGGTAGTAAACCTAGCCCAGTCACAGCCAAAACTAATCTAATCACATTCTGGGGGGAAATTATTATTAAAATAACTCCTTTCAGGGGCTTCCATTTTTATCTAAATCACGTTCCTGGAGGGAGGGGTTTTTGCTTCAACCCGCAGCAGCAATATAAAAGTAGACCAATTCCGTGGGAAAACCGCTGACTTGGCAACACTCCTCTTCTCAGCGTAAGCAAAAGATCCACTCTTCATCAAAATGGTAACCCACTTTAGTTGAAACAGTTCTAATTGCACAAGCGTAATTGAACATTAAACACTATAGTCTCTCCCTTTTCTCATCTTGCTCAAAAACACACCAAAAATAATACAAATGTGTAATGTTTACTACTATACACATGCTATTATTACAAGCCGGTCTTAAAGTTTAAATTATCATTTGAAATGGCTTTAACAATTTATATCGACTGAAATAAGTTGCACTGTGTGGATGGCTTTCTCTAACACAGGAACATTTGGCAAATGACAAATATAATCAATATGCAGTGAGCTTTGTCGACTAGCTGTTAGCAATCATGAGCCTTGATGATGAAAACACTGTGTGCTCAGAAATGTCTGTTGTTCTTTTCCCAGGAGTTCAGAAGTAGACACAAAAGCCGCTGTCACAGACATGACTGGATCAGATATCCAGTACAGCTTCTGCCCAGTCTCATTAGCTGACCGAAATGCCCTCGCTTTGGAGTTTTGTCTCAGTTTAAATATTTAATTTCCTTTTTGGATCCATTGGCACTCTGTCAAATCTTGTGTAATTTGCTGCCATTGGACAAAGAAGGAGAGCGTATCTTTCTGCTGCTTTCAGCTTTCCGTTTGATTAAGCTGCAGTTGCCGGAGTCCTCTGGAACGGCTTAAAATCTAATCCCAATGATTTGTTCTGATGCCCTTGGAAAATAAATTGATATGATAGGCATTCGGGAAAGTTGTTTAACAGCCTATGAGAAAAACAAAGAGTCCCACAGTGGTATCTTAATTATTTGTGTAATATTGACTGATATTTACACCATGATGGCCTAAACAGCTACAATGGTTTAAACATAATGTTTTTAACAAGTACAATAATTAATATGCAACAGATATATTACAAAAAACTAGTCTATTGTTTATTAATGTAGTCTTTTAACAGTGTTGTAGTTTGGTTAACTGCGAGGTGCCAGAAGCTTGTGCCAAAAAAAAATATCTATTAATTTATTTTAAAAAGTCAACCCCTCTGAAAGTCATTCGGACACTGATGATTTAAATCTATCTTACTGAGCATTTTGAAAGGTTATTTAAAGGGGTCATATGATGTTGCTAAAAAGAACATTATGTTGTGTATTTGGTGTAATGCAATGTGTTTATGCGGTTTAAGGTTAAAAAAACACATTATTTTCCACATAATGTACATTATTGTTGCTCCTCTATGCCCCGCCTTTCTGAAACGCGTCAATTTTTACAAAGCTAATCATTCTGAAAAGCGAGGTGTACGCTGATTGGCCAGCTATCCAATGCATTGTGATTGGCTGAATACCTCAAGCATGTGACGGAAATGTTATGTACCTTACCATACTGTGATGCCGTGTCCCGGCATGAAGAGACAAAACAAAACCAATAAAACCCATTACAAACGAGGCATTTGTTGCATCCAGTGGGGACATAATTACTGATTATAATGATTTATACTGTCTTTTTACGTGTTGTGTATCGCGACGCGTAAACATAAAACCATGTCTGCATTTGTGATCGGAGAAACGACAAACAACAAGTGCTACTCTCACACAGCGGAGTTGATGTATTTACTCAGCGACCAGCATGGATCAGCTCTAGGCATGACGAAGCGGATATCATCCTCTTTTGGAAGGCCAAACAAAGCAGTTTCGCTTTCACAACGAAACACACACGTCTCCACGACATGGTGGCGGCGGTAACAACAATACTACAGCGAGAATCAAAGTTGCACCTTCTTTCTTTGCATGCACATTTGGGCGGTGTTATGCAAATCTTCCCACACAGTGACGTAGACATGTGGGGGCGTGTTTAAACGAGGCATTTTAGGAGGGCATGGACAAGTCTTAACTTTTATAAAGTTCTTTGGGTTTGAGTCTTTGCAACTTTAGGGATCTTATTTATGCACGAACAGCTTGTAACACTCTAGCTAGCAATAGCAAGCTAGCTTTATAAGCAAGTTCCTCACCCTCCTGCATAATCACCCATGAACGCACTCAGGCAGACCAGAGACTAACCTGCTACATGATGAGAGACGGCGTTGGTGGAGGATTGAATGCAATGCTGTCAAGATTACCTCATGTCTCATTCAGCCGCTGAGAAAACATCACAGTTCAAAGCACATAATATTACAATAATAGCACCTTTCATTCTCGCTGGAATGTGCTGATGATGTATCATGTCTGCGCAAACAGGGTGCGCTGAGGTATACAACTACATATTTGGTACACAGGCATGACAGCCTATTGTAATGTTCGGACCGAACATTTCGATTGGACGAACATTATATGGTCCTACCCTACTCCTTTCACAAACGATATGAGTACATATTAATACAATTTAGACCATTTAACTTAGTGATTGCTATTGGGATGTGAAGAGATTTTCAACCAGCATATAAAAAAAACAACAAACATTTTTTTTTAACCAAATCACATACCCTG